GATCAACGTTATGGTGAATCACCAATGGATGGATAAAAGTTACAAAGTATGAGATGAGATTAAACCGTTATTATTAAGATGAACAGTAATGAGGAAGCATTAAAGGACTTAGATTTATACATATAGGACAAACAACGAAAGAGTAACCCGGAGCTGGGTGGCAGACCTCGGTAATAGTAAACCAAAGTAAGAGTTAGGATATAATATGAACTACCTAGATGTAATAAAACCATAAGCATAAGTAACCAAGGCTATGAAGCAATGTATAACAATAGTCATAAGTTCGGCAAAGTACCAAGAGAAGAAATTTAGTACATCTATAAATGCCTAGAGGGACATCATGTCATAATTTTGTATATGTTTACAAAGTGAGGCCTAGAGATTGGCCAAAAGCTGGAGGAAAAAGGAGAAAAAAGTCGCATAGGCAAACATATAAGTAAACGGTTGTACATGATGCATGTCAGAAGGTAACAACAGTTATGAGATTGGAAGAATTCTGATCACAGGCCGTGGTATTAGAAAGAGGCCTAAAGGGGGGAATACCCAGGCCCTTGGATTTATTTACAGAACAGTTTCCTAGATGTCAAGGACAACATTAAAGTATTTGTAAGAGCTACAGGTTATGAGACTGATAAGCGCATTAGTCAACATTCGAGGACGAGTGTTCCAAAGGGGGGAATGATGTTACACCCCATGTTTTCGTATGTACGAGTACGTCATAAGTCAATTAATGTAAGCTCAAAAATGGAATCATCTTTGAAAGTTTACAAAGTTAGTTCATCATGTTAACGTGGAGGTTACAAATATTTAATATCATTGATACCAAGTAGCAAGAGGGTTTGAAGGCTTAATAGCTAAACAAATTGAAGAAAATAAGTTTCGTCGAAAGTCGACAAGTTGGAATGTTTTACCATGTACTTTGGGGTTAAACTAGGGTTATTAACATTATAAAAAGATTGTAATATGAGTTATTTTAGTCGTATGATAGTTGGTGTTATGTTTTGAAGTCAAGCGAGTTATGGAACAAAAGTTGGAAAAGGTCATCACAAGTTCCATTCATAATTGTGCTGAAAATTAGGTCAAATGTAACTAAGCTTTTCTCCCAATATAATTGGAATTAGGGGATGATATGCCTACCAAATTAAAGATCTATGAGTCTAGTCTGTAAAGCATTAAACCGTTTGTCAATACTATATCAAAGTATAGAGATATTCGCATTTTCGCGAGACTGCGCAGATTGGTAGGTGACAAGTAGGTGCATCACCTACTTGCCAAAATGAGATGACTTAATTAAAAGCCCCAAGTCGGCCAAGAGGGGTATTTTAAGGGATTATCAACTTATTTATTTCAAACATCCTCCAGACCTTGAAAACCTAATTGAACCCCTGCAACTCCTCCCCAAAAATCCCACACAAACCCTAGGGTATTCCGGGTGTTACGACGCGATTCTAGTGCTGAAAAGTCCGGACAGCTTGCTAGTTTCTCTTTCTCCTTCTTGTAGCCGTGTTGAGGAACTTATTTTTGATGAAGAAGGACCAGGTTTCTTGGGTTATACTCAGTACAAGGTAAGTTTATGCTTCTCCTTCCATTATCTATGTGTTTGCGAGTTGTAACTCGATCGTAAAGAATATACCTAGCTAGTTTCGAAATAATGGTATGTTGTTTGTTCTTTTGTAATGGTTGACTAGTTGTGAACTTATTTTTAAGTTGAATTCATGGCTGGTTTATTGTATAAGAGGTATAATTATGTACTTTTGGTCGTATTTCTCAATTTGAAAGAAAAGACAAGTCGAAACATGTTTAAGTAAACTGAAAAATTATTTTTGAGTTGATGAACTTGTGGGAGCGTTTTTGGGCTGTTTCGTGTTGGTATTGGGTAGTCTCTTTTACTACTATTTTTATGGAGTTGAGCGGAGGAAGGGTGCGGAGAAACACCACATAATGGCAAGGTTGTTTGTTGGTCGTTCGTCGTAACATTTTCGGATTGTTTGACACTATTATGGTTGTCGTGTTGTGCATGAAGGTATAGGGGTATGTTGGGCTGTTTGTGATTTTTCAACATCCAATCCAAACAAATAACGATTTTTGAAAACCCAAATTCAAATTCAAAGCTTCAAAACTTTTTAATAGCTGTCAATGGTGGAATTGTTGCTCTCTTTTCCTTCACTTTGTATTTGATTTCTATAATTTTTTGGATGTATCGATCATTAATTGATGTGCTATTGTAGAAATCAATAGACTATAACTCGCATCCTCATCGACTACAATGCCATCAACCTGAAATTCTCTAAATCTCCCATATCTATCCCAATTCTCATTCAATTGTAGCATAATTGGGATTTTGGACATAATTGCGTTTGTTGCAAAAAATTATACTCCCTCCGTTCCAATTTAAGTGAACCTATTTGAGTGGGCACAGAGTTTAAGATAAAAATGAAGACTTTTGGAATTTGTGGTCCTAACCAAGTCAAAAAGGGCCCAGAATATTTGTGTGGTTATAAAAGCTTCTCATTAAGGGTAGAATTGTAAGTTAAAGCTAAATTGTTACCAAATTTAGAAAAGAGTCATTCTTTTTGGAACATACCAAAAAGGAAATAGGTTCACATAAACTGGAACAGAGGGAGTAGAAGATTTAGTCGTTTTTGATTTGTGAAATTAGAAAAAATGTTGAAACACAATGTATCGCAAAAACAGAGTCGCTAAATTTTGGATCGAAACAGTCGATAATATTAATGCGCGATTTGCATTATAAAATATCTGGAAGAATATTTAATTCCCCAATATTAGCGCGCCTAAATAAGGAAGCCCACAGCTACAATGATTCCTTATTTAGTGAATTGTCTATATTTTGTAGAAATACTATTAGCATAGCGGTAATATGCAAACTATGAACATATTTGATAATATAATTTCCTATATGGTATAAGAACGAAAATTTCCCAACTCTTAATAATGGGCATGCTTGGTGTTTGGCCCTATGTAGTTCAAATTATACAGACGAATGTAAATACCTACAAATTTCAAAGTTAGACATATAATTACACAAATTTAATCATAATAACAAATGAGAAATTTAAATCTGTTTTAATTTGAACTTAATACGTTACAATGACTATTCCTAACAAATACAACCTCGAATGCTAGGAGTTTTGAGAATCCATGCGTTTTGGTTTCCAGATTCATCCGTTTCTGCTTTCAGACAGGGGCGGACCCACGTAGTATCAACTGAACCCGCTTCGTTGAAAAATTATACTGTGCATATAATAAATAAATTATATTTAGAACAAAGAAATTGTTTATAGAAATTATTTCATTGTAAAATAGGTTGTGGTCGATACAGAATAGTTACGACGCTTAAACGATAATGAGAATGTCATTTCTCTTACTGTAGACTAAGGAGCCATGAAATTGCATAGCTTGAGGTTGGGAAGAATATACAAGGCATGTTAAGGTACTTACTTCTTTCTTTTGGCATGATCTAAAGTGACATGAACATAAACGGTACGCTAATTCATAACGGATCTACTCCTAGAAACTAAGGTTGTCCGTGTTGTTCTTTCCTTATAAAGTTATTCTAAATAAGTGTGTATAATCCTTAAATCCTAATAAGGTTCGTATTGATGGTAGGGATGTCCATAATGTTCTTAAGTCACTCCAAATGGTTTAGAACGTGATTCTATGAGTCGAGCATGCATTATATATATGTATCTATTTTACTCTACCGAGCCGCACTATAGTCGGCCGGATACGACAACTATTGTGCAACCACTGATCAATTGGGTTTACCGAGCTCCACATGGCCGAGTACGATTCTACCAAGCCTTATGATGGTCGGGTACGTTTTTACCGAGTCCTCTTTGAGGCCGGGTACGAAATGATGATGATGATGCCTACAGAGGCGTATACTTTTTAAAAGTTTATGTATATATATGTATTATACATTTCATGTCAGTAGCACCCAGATGTACTCAAATGTTACAGGTTGTATCTTCTCTATCTCTCTTTACATTACTGTTCTTGTTTATGCTTTCCTGCCTTACATACTCAGTACTCCCGATAGATAGGTTGACATTCCTTCAAGTAGACTATCAACTCAGTGGAAGGTGTTGGTGCACTCCACTTGCTCCGGAGTTGCCTATTTGGTCAGTATGTTTGGATATGTATTGATTGGTATGGCAGTGCCCTGTCCCAACCTTTATGATATTAGGTACTCTTAGAGGCTTGTAGATAGATGTCAGGTGTATGGATACTTTTATGGCCTTGTCGGCTTATGTTTTGAGTTTACAAATGATTATGTCGGCCTTATAAGCTCGTATGTCACATGTATAAGTTTGCATATCACGTTGGGTCGTCATATGTTGAGTATTCCCTTATGTTTCATTCTTGTTATTTCATGACAAGTTTCCTGACCCATTTACCCATAATAGTATGATAAGAAAGATATTTTACGTTGGTACTTGGTTGAGTAAGGCACCGGGTGCTCGTTGCTCGATTTGGGTTGTGACATCAGTTCCGCCTTCTCCTTCCTTATCTTCCTTGTAGTATTTTGTTGGATTTTTCTCACACTATGTAGTCTTGGTTACTTCGGATAGTTGCGGTTTGCTTATGACCTAGTGACACCCGAGATCGGGCTTGTATTTTTTTCCGCTAGATTTGATTTCTATTTTTGTCTTACTGGATTTCTGTTAAAAAAGTGATTTTTTTCTTAAGTCTTTAATTGAAAAATGAAGGAAATGGGTAATAGTTGGTTGGCCTAGTATCACGATGGGCGCCATCACGACCGGGTCAGTTTTTGAGTCATAACACATGATATGTCAGAAGACTTTCGAAGGATGCATGAAAATTCGCCTGCTACTCAACTCCAATGTACACTAAAAAGTGCTAATTATTATCAACAAAGTATGGGTAAAAGTGTTGAAAAATATGATTTACCAAAAATCAACCAAGAGTCATGCCAAAAAAACACTTCAGAATGTAAAGAAATAATTGAAGAAACGTCTATGAATGTACTTGTGGAAGATTATGAGGCACAATCAAAGTTGAATCATGAACAAGCACAAGCTTTCAAGACCATATTACATAGTATAGACTCTGGAACAACACGATTATTTTTTGTAAATGGACCTGGGGGAACTGGAAAAATATTCTTATATCATGCATTACTAGCAAATGTTAGATCAAAAGGTATGATAGCTTTGGCAACTGCAACCAGTGGTGTAGCAGCTGTAATATTACCAGGAGGTCGTACAGCTCACTCTAGATTTGACATATCTCTTCAAACAAATGATACAACTATGACAAAAATGTCAAAACAAAGTAGTACTACTAAGTTAATAAGACAAGCAAAATTAATAATATGGGATGAAGCACCCATGGCAAAGCGTCAAACAATTGAAACAGTTGACAGGAGCTTTCGCGATATAATGGATGTCAATGCATATTTTGGTGGAAAAGTAATGGTCTTTGGAGGCGATTTCCGACAAGTATTGCCAGTTGTTCCAAAATCAACAAGAGTAGAGACGGTTAACACAAGTTTAGTGAAATCCTATTTATGGCCTTTAATGGAAAAGATACATTTCACAACTAATATGAGATCAAAAGCGGATCCAAATTTCACTAATTTCTTACTTCGTGTTAGTAATGGGGACGAGCAAACAGTAAAGGATAACTTATTAAGCCTTCCAGAACTAATAGTTGTCAAACACAATAGTGATGAAAGACCAGATGAATGCTTGATAAGAGAAATATTTCTATCACTACATCAACATTCCAGTTCTGCACAGTTCATAACAGAAAGAGCTATCTTAGCAAGTAGAAATGAATTTGTAGATCAACTAAATGAAATGTTGATAGCCAAGTTTTTTGGTGAAAGCAAGATATTTATTAGTTTTGCCTCTGCATAAGATGATACCAACAACTACTATCAAGAAGAATACCTCAATACTTTAATACCAAATAATCCTCCTCCACATAGGTACATCGTCAAACCTAATATGTCACTAAAGTTTCTCTTAAACTCTTTCTCTCTCTCTATCTCTCTCTATCTCTCTCTCTCTCTCTCTCTCTCTATATATATATATATATATATAATA